AAATGTGAGGGCCCATATCCTACACATAGAAAGAAATACACCATTTAATTCTTGACTTTGGTTGAGCTAAAACACACACACATACAATCATTAACAATTAACAATTCTCTATGAACTTACATCATATCCAGCAATAAGCAGTCCAACACCATAGGGTCTTCGGCCATACCTTTGTGTTGGTATCTGGGTCTCTTAAACGAGTTAAAGAACTTGTTATAGCAAGTACTAAAGAGCTATGTCTATTTTGAAATCCCCTTTAAAAGTGATGCCTGCATAATTCTGAAACTGGGCTTACCTTATGTCTGAAAAATATTAATTGCTTTCAAGGGCTAATGAAAGAGCAACTCAATTTCTTAAGATTTTTTTACAACCTTACCTATGTTATAAATGATCACATTTTGTATGATCACATTCCTATTAACTAACCTAAGCGTTAAGTATCAAAACCCAAAACCCTTTAAAGTTCACATCCATGCATGCTAACATAAAAAGGATACTGCTTCCAATTAGAGATACAAGACGAGACACCGGAAGTGGTCTGTCAAATACAAATCTGGAATCCAAACATTCCTGGCGCATAAAATTACTAAAAAGAAACAAGAAAAATTAATAATTTCGAATCACAGATAGTGGATGCAACCAAGTAAAGTTTCACTTTGATTTTCTCCTGAACATTTACATAGACTACACCCATATGAGGAAAGCAGAAAAAGGTAAGAAAGACAGAACCACAAGGATGCACTTTGGTGCCAAACTCTGGGGCCATGTGAGATTTTTACAAAATACTAAAATATATCTTAGCTTTAGAAAATCTTTGTCTTAGGGCACTGACAGGTCAGAGAAGACTGAGAATAAAGACAAAGAGAATACTTATTCTGCTCTTTTCCTTGAAAGCAGACTAAAATTTCCCCATTAGAACAAGCTATTACAAAAAACAGAAGCCGTAACAGTGAAAACCTTTACCACTGTTCCTTCCAATGTTACCTCTATCCATTAGCAGTGCTCTAAGGCAGATACTGGATACTAGCTTGCTGAGTTTCACTGTTAAACCCAACGAGAATTAAGCAAGGCTAACATTGGGTAAAACTCATGTCTATTAAAGGGAGTAACCACAAAAAAGACATTTTCCTTTCTTTCCATGCTGCTTTGTTCCTGGTGTGTAAATGTCACATTTGAAGATCAAACTTCTTTGTTAAGTACTTTTATTTAAATCCATCTCCCAATGCCTTCTAGAACTTAAATGCCCAATATGAGAGACACTAATCGCATATGGCTGCTGGGCCTTTTAAAAAGTAGCTAGGCTGAACTAGGATGTATTTAAAGTAAAAAATATATAGCAAAATTTTGAAGACTTAGTACCAAAAAAAATTACAGTATCTCATTAATAAACTTCTTATATTAATTATATGTTCACATGGTGATATTTCAGTAAACTGAGTCTCACAATATTTTATATATCTAAGACCAGACAAAAATTTATGCTGTCATTATGTTGCAGACTTAAGAGAAAAAGGGCTCGAGGATAGGGGGTGGAAGAGGTGCTACAACTATCTCCTACCCCCAACATCACACAAATCACTTACTACCTGAAAGGCACTGTGTTAAGTGCTCTACATATCAGGTTATTAAACAATAATCTTGGAAAATACTGAAAAAAATTGAGTGTTTAAATAAGTAACCCAATCTCAGATATTAAGTGGTAAAGGTGGGAGTTCAACTTGTTTGGTTTCAAAGCCCCACCTGTTCACTTACATATTGCTTCTCAGCATAAAAAAAAAAAAAAAAAAAACTGTGTCTCCTCTGGACTCCAAAGAAATTTACCAGTTATACTCTACTTTCTAAATTATAGGACAAACTAATTTTAAGTTCCTTGAAGAACTGGGTCTGAGTTATTTTTGTATGTTCTGCAGTACCCAGTATTGAGCTTTGCAAAAAATAAATGTTTAAAAAATATTGGTGTATTTAAAAGGAAAGGTGGGGGCCAGTGCTGTGGCACAGAGGGCTAAGCCTCCACCTGTGGTGCAGGCATCCTATATGGGCAACCGATTTCAGTCCTGGCTGTTCCACTTCTGATTAGCTCTCTGCTATGGCCTGGGAAGGCAGTGGAAGATGGCCCAAGTCCTTGGGCCCCTGTACCCACATGGGAGACCCAGAGGAAGCTCCTGGCTCCTGGCTTTGGATCGGCTCAGCTTTGGCCATTGCAGCCATTTGGGGAATGAACCAGCGATGGAAGACTTCTTTCTCTCTGCCTTTCAAACCAATCAATCAATCAATCAATCTTAAAAAAAAAAAAAAAAGACGAAAAAAGCAAAGGTGGTATAGCTCATTCTTAAAAATGATACAAAAGTGTCAAGTGTTTCTTAGACATAACAGAGTCTCAAACAACACATGTTACTTTAAGTTATCACATTATTTGATGACTTCTCAAGTCTTAGTACCAGTATGTTGAATTCTATTAGTTACTATTACAAGAACCAGGATATGGAATATTCAGAAACTAACCCAATCCATTAAGATAGTCATAATATTAACTTATAAACATTCTGGCAGACAACTTCCCAACATAGTTTACCTCAGTCTTTTCATGATAAGTAAACAATTATGAGTCAGGGGCCAGTGCTGTGGTGCAGTGAGTTAAGGCCCTGGCCTGCAGTGCTGGCATCCCATATGGGCACTGGTTCAAGTTCTGGCTTCCCCACTTCCAATCCAGCTCTCTGCTATGGGCTGGGAAAGCAGCAGACAATGGCCCAGGTCCTTGGGCCCCTACACCCATGTGGGAGAAGCTCCTGGATCCTGGCTTCAGATTGGCTCAGCTCTGGCTGTTGTGTCCATTTGGCTAGTGAACCAACAGATGGAAGACTTCTCTTTTTGTCTCTACCTCTCTCTGTAACTCTTTCAGATAAATAAAATAAATCTTTAAAAAATATTATGAATCAGAGATGTTTGTTTTTCAAAATCATACTCACCATAACAGCCTAGCATCAGCAGTAAGCCCCGCAATTGAAATACCAATATGGTTGTCAACATGGAGAATTTTTTTCTGATGAGCTGCAAGCTCTGACTGTGCCCTCTAAATAGACATCATAAAAGATAAAAATAAGTTTACAACTTTACTGCCTACACAGTGAAATTTTCATTTGATAATTCTGCTTTCTAAAGGAAGATATATTTATTGCTTTATTTACCTTCAATGCAACCAACACTGCATGGGTTTTTGATTTCAGACCAACTGTGGCTGAACCTTGCTTAACAGCTTCCATTGCATATTCAATTTGATGAATCCTGCCCTAAAGGGAAAAAAAACACATGTCTTAGAGTCACCTTAGAAGAGTTTCACAAATTAAGAATTAAGAGTCCTCAAACCTCAAGAGCACTGTTAAATCTCAAATGACTTTTTTTAAAACCAGAAAATGTATTGAATTATAAATTTAAGTTATGGGAGTGTCTAAAATGAATATATCCCATTTTCTCACAGTCTACAATCACACAACCTTCTAAACATATTGCAGCCATGAAAAAGCTCTTGAATGGAATAGTATGAAACATTATCTTACCTGAGGACTCCAAACAGTGACATCATTGTCATACTGGTTACGAAACTGAAAGTAAAAAAAAAGATCAAATTATTGTCAGAACCCTCCTCTTAATATTAAGAAATGTGTGATTTCATTACACATTAAAGTAACTGTTAAGGCAAACTCACTGGAAGATTACTACTATACTCAGTGGCAAGCCAAGTCTACAATTTCTATGAGCTGGTGAGGAAGGAACAGCTCTAAATGGGTCTCATCTTTCCAACTTTCTACCCAGCCACTCTCCATAGCGCTCCCTTTGGGTTCAACTATTGAAGTTTATATGCATCAAACTTTTTCTTTAAATGAGCTCAAATGTCTATCTCTTGAATTCTCCCAAAACCCTCACAGCACGAAGTCCCACAGCTCTGTACACATCCTTTTCTATCTTAAAATTAAGGTTAGGGATATGTCTGATTATCTTTGAGCCTCCCCTGTACTTGCACTTTTGTACACATAAAATTTTTCTTTGTTACTTTGGGCTAGATACGAATAACTACGATACACTACTGTTTTAGACAATCTTCAAAAAGGCCTTTCACTACTTGGCAGAACAATCACAGGGGTGAGCGGACTGAACGCTGGACTCTGGCGTGGGACTTGAAGCCCACAGAACTACATTATAATCCTGAGTCCATCATTTCCCCTTTCAGGATAAGTTCACTCATTTGCAATCAGGTGACTGGACAAAGTGAAAGAGACCTTTTCTGATCGCGCCCTAGGGGGCTCATAAGTCGGACGGACCCACCAAGGAAAGGGACGCGATCTAAGGACACACACCCTGGGTCTAGACCGCCCCGGCGGTACAAGGCCGCCTCCGAGTCAAGTCCCGTCTCTCTATCGTCCAGAGCACGAGGGATCGTTTTGGACCTCTGGGAATCTACTCCGGTGAGGGAACTCGAGAGGCGGACTCGACCACTTCATCGAGGCCTTGAGAATAGCGAAATGCGCCGTGGGGAAAAGGCTGCACCGGCTACCGACCGCAGCTCGCCAGGCCAGGCCGGAGATGCTGAATCACTGCCGGAGCCCTCCCGCAGACTGGGGTTCCCATGCCCCGTGGCCTCGGGCCGCTCTAAGAACGGCAGGAGAATTGGTTCGCCATCCCCAAGTCACTGGGACCTCTGCCCTAAACCTTCGAAGGATCGGGACCCAACGCACCATGGTTCCGTCGCCGGCCTGGCTGCAGGACTCCTAGCGAAGGTGCGGAGTAAGGAACGCAGCCGAAACTACCGCTCGGCGATCTACAGAAAAGGCTGCGGGGTTTTGACGGCGGCAGCGCAGGGTAGATCAGTCTATTCCGGAGCTATCGATAGGTTTCCAGCGCTTCCTCGCGCCCTCCTGCGTGGGCGGGGCCCTGGGAGAAGGAGGAACTGAGATTGGCGGGAAACGTAGGCCCGGAGTGCCGGCAGTGGCTAAACAGCAGCTCGTAGCCCGTCCTGGAGTCTCAGGTTCATCGTCCTCAGAGATTTGAGCTGTGTGTGTCTGAGAAGAACGAGGCTTCAGGAAAGGCCACAGAATAACGCCTGTTTATGTGTGTCAGCCATACTCTTCCTCGAGTATCTTGCTGGTGTGCGTTCTTTGCTTTGCACTTATGAATCCTCTGCCTTCCTTAAATCTCTTCTTCGAAGACCCTGATACCAGCAGCCCTTCATTTTTTATCACTGTTGTTTTCCTCCTCCAGACTTTGAACTACTGTCTTTCCATGCCCTCAGAACCAAGCAGACACCCGATAGATTAGATTAGGCCGCTGAGAATAAAAGGACTTTTTCTTCTGAATTATCTATTTTCTTTTCGAAAGGATCTTCTGGCAAATCCCCAAATGAACTAGTTTGAGACAGCTCTGAGCATAGCTGCCAATAACACCTACCAACTGGTAATTCTCTTTTTAAAGAAGAGGTGAGTGCCTAGATTAAGGTGACATTGGAGCTGAAAGCATCCCTTCGGGATGAGAGTTTTGCATGTACAAGAACTGGCTCAGGTGGTGTGGTCAGGTTCGCAGCAGCGTAGAATCACACTGTTTAGAAACCTTTGCATGTATGTGTTTGGACACTTTCTTGTCTTCAACATTTTGCAGGTCAAACAAAGATGCCCTGGTATTCTGCATTCTGAACATATATTTACCCAGATCCCTATTGTTTGATATTTAGGTCCTTCCTAATAACTCACGAACTGTTCCTATATATGTTTAACATCCATATTCTTTTCTTTTGAGTCAGTTCTAGGAAATGGAATTACAGGTTCAAATGAAATGTATAATTTTAAGGCTTTTCATGAAAAAAGCTAAATTGGCTTTTAGAAAAGTTTTACTGTTAGGTCCTCAACTGTAGTATATGGGGTTGCCCCCCTCAAATTTGCAACAATGGTTATTGTCATTTTTAAAGTAACAGATTAAATTAATAGTTCATCTTTTTGATGTACACATTCCTAGCATGTATGAAGTGCTTAATAAATATTGGCAAAGGGAATAAAGAATGTTGAATGAGTGACTAAATGTCCATTTAAAAATTGTCATGTAACATATTTATGGTTATGTGTTGCATACAAATCTGTCAGTTCTTTTACATATAAAATTATATTAAACTATTTTTAATACTATTAAAAAGTTATAGCCATTTTATTTTCATAAATATTTCTGAAATATTTATGAAATGTATTATATTTTCAGTAGTTGTATAGTGTTCTATTGTGTGGAAATGAGATAATTTACCTTACTATTGGTGAGCAATTAGATTCTTTCCAAATTTTTGCTATTATAAAAATACCATAATGATGATTATACATTATTTGGTGTACTTTCCTGATTACCTCCTTATGATGAATTCATAGAAGTAGAATTGTGGGGTCAGAGGGGATGCACATTTGTAGTTAAGATTTATATGGCTAAGTTGCAAAAAAATATTATATCTGTTTACATTCTACAGTGCCTGAGAATCCTCTTTCATTGTACCCTCACCAACATTGGATATTGTGAGTACACTGTGCAGTTATCAAGTTGATAGGCAGGGAAAAAAAAAAACTCTTGCTTTAATTTTCTTTGTAGTTTTTGATTACTAGTAAAAAATCTTTTAATGTATTTCCTGCTGTTTGTTATGTTAGTAAACTGTACTTCATTCTTTTCTCAATTTATTATTACGTTACTCATTTTCTCATTCATTTGTTGGCACTCCCTGTCAATAGGGATGGTAACCTCTTATTAGGTTACTTTTTTTTTTTAATATTTTATTTATTTATTTGAGAGGTAGAGTTAGAGACAGTGAGAGAGACAGAGAGAGAGGTTTTCCATCTGCTGGTTCACTCCCAGATGGCTGCAACGGCCGGAGCTGTGCCAATCCGAAGCCAGGAGCCAGAAGCTTCTTCCAGGTCTCCCACGTGAGTGCAGGGGCCCAAGGACTTGAGCCATCTTCTACTGCTATCCCAGGCCATAGCAGCGAGCTGGATTGGAAGAGGAGCAGCCAGGACTTGAGCCAGCGCCCATATAGGATGCTGGCGCCATAGGTGGAGAATTAACTTATTGTGCATGGAGCATAGGTTACTTTTACAGAAGATTTTTGAATACAAAAAAAAGAAACTCCTTGAAGGTAGCTCAAGTGAAAATGAGGAGGGAAATTTGTTATTCCAGAGAGTTAGGGAACCACTTAACTGTCCAGGGATAGGAATTTTTTTGTCTTTTTTTTTTTTTTTTTTTTTTTTGACAGGCAGAGTTAGTGAGAGAGAGAGAGAGAGAGAGAGAGAGAGAGAAAGGTCTTCCTTCCATTGGTTCAGCCCCCAAATGGCTGCTACAGCCGGTGCACTGTGCCGATCCGAAGCCAGGAGCCAGGTGCTTCTTCCTGGTCTCCCTTGGGGTGCAGGGCCCAAGCACCTAGGCCATCCTCCACTGCCTTCCCGGGCCACAGCAGAGAGCTGGACTGTACTCATCAAACCTTCATTGAGTGAATACATGAAAGAACAGCAGATACCTGCAAAACCTGTCCTTTTGGTTATTGTTTCCTGAGCAAATATTCAGGGCTCTGTGACTTAGAAATTGGCTGGACTCTTCAGAGTAACACTTATTAAAGCTCTATTTGTAGACCAATAGAAGAAGGAACATTTGGTTGGCTTTTGTCAAAAGTGAAAGTCTGGGGCTGGTGCTGTGGTGAAGTGGGTGAAGCTGCTACCTGCAGTGCCACCATCCCATATGGGTGCCATTTTGAGTCCTGGCTGCACCCCAAGGGGCAACCAGGACAGAATCTGGCGCCCCGACTGGGACTAGAACCCCGTGTGCCGGCGCTGCAAGGCGGGGGATTAGCCGATTGAGCCGCGGCGCCAGCCGATACAGCTTTATCCTTAACTGGTAGCTAAAAAATGATTAGTAAAGATAATGTGTAGGGGCCGGTGCCATGGCTCAATAGGCTAATCCTCTGCCTGTGGCGCTGGCACAATGGGTTCTAGTCCCGGTCGGGGGCACCGGATTCTGTCCCAGTTGCTCCTCTTCCAGTCCAGCTCTCTGCTGTGGCCCAAGTGCTTGGGTTTTGCACCCGTATGGGAGACCAGGAGAAGCTCCTGGCTTCGGATCAGCACAGTGCGCCGGTGGCAGCGCGCTGGCCGTAGTGGCCATTGGAGGGTGAACCAACAGAAAAGGAAGACCTGTCTCTCTCTCTCACTGTCCACGCTGCCAGTCAAAAAAAAAAAAAAAATTAAAAAAAGAAAAAGATATTGTATAGGAAGATTGGGTCAGCAAACATAGCACTACTTCTTTGAACATCATTGGTAAGCAATCCCTGGATTTTTAAGAATCAGATAAAAGTAAATTCTTTTTTTTTTTTTTTTTTTTTGACAGGCAGAGTGGACAGTGAGAGAGAGAGACAGAGAGAAAGGTCTTCCTTTGCCGTTGGTTCACCCTCCAATGGCCGCCGCGGACAGCGCGCTGCGGCCAGTGCACCGCGCTGATCCGATGGCAGGAGCCAGGAGCCAGGAGCCAGGTGCTTTTCCTGGTCTCTCATGGGGTGCAGGGCCCAAGCACCTGGGCCATCCTCCACTGCACTCCCTGGCCACAGCAGAGAGCTGGCCTGGAAGAGGGGCAACCGGGACAGAATCCGGCGCCCTGACCGGGACTAGAACCCGATGTGCCGGCGCCGCTAGGCGGAGGATTAGCCTAGTGAGCCGCGGCGCCGGCCTAAAAGTAAATTCTAAATAAAAGATGGAAATTTTCCCTCATGGACACATAAATTTTATTATGGTGTTGTGCTTAGCAACTGTAACTGGTATATTGAACAAATGGAATGTACCAGATGCAATGTGGAAATTACTTACTATTTTCCCTCCATATATGGAGTTAATTTTTACATACTTTTGAATGAAATAAGGTACAAGTCTCATGATTTTTCTGGTTATTTAAGTAAAAAAAGTCAACTAGTCAATTATACAACTAGACACATCAGTGATTAATAAATCCAGTATCATTAAGAGTGAAGTTTCTTGGGGCCAGCACTGTGGCGCAGCAGGTTAATGCCTTGGACTGAAGTGCCAGCATCCCATATGGGCACCAGTTTTAGTCCTGGCTGCTTCTCTTCCGATCCAACTCTCTGCTGTGGCCTGGGAAAGCAGTAGAAGATGACCCAAGTCCTTGGGCCCCTGCACCCATGTGAGAGACCAGAAAAAGCTCCTAGCTCTTGGCTTCAGATCGGCACAGCTCCAGCTGTTGCTGCCATCTGGGAAGTGAACCAGCGGATGGAAAACTTCTCTGTCTCTAACTCTCTCTAACTCTGTCTTTCAAATAAATAAAATACATCTTAAAAAAAAAAAAAGGAGTGAAGTTTTTTGCCTCTCTCAACTTCCCAACTTGAGCTTGCCATGGCAAAAGAGTAAATGCTTGAGTTCCTCTCTGTTACTGCCTAAAATTTCTCTTCTAACATCCCCTACCACCACCACCACCACCAACCACAACTAGGTTGCCCTTCTTTTTCCAAGCTGAAACAGGAAGGGGTAAGAAAATTCTTAACTTGGTCAACCTATGATTATAGTATATAAACACCTTGAACTTGACAGATGTTTACTGTTGACATTTGTAACTTTATAGGTTCTTTGGAAATACATCCATTCTCACATTTACTCTAATGAAAAAATTCTTGTAATCTCTTGCTTGAACTTGAAGAAATACATTTTGTCTGGCTATCAGCTCAATGTTGTTAGTATCTGTGAGTTCACCTCTAGGTTCTTTCTGTGGAAGTTTTCCTTCCACCTGACCCTCTTGAGTAACAAATATATGATCCAAAGAAATAATCACAATGTAGGTGTGCCTTGTACTTTTGACCAGACCAAAAACTCACCTTTGCATTTAGTTAGCCAAAATGTCTTGCTCTCGAGGTTCTGCTAGAATGTTGGCTCTGTGAAGGCAGAGAATGTCTTTATTGTTCACTGTTGTATTCACCTGTGCCTAGTCCAGACACTAGTCCACTGTGACCCTAAGCCCCCTAGCTCTAGGGGCAAATATAAAAATTTTGTTGGGGTTGGCGTTGTGGTATAGCGGTCATCCCATTCAGGTGTCAGTTTGTGTCCTGGCTGCCCTACTTTTGAGATCCAACTGCCTGCTAACGGTATGGGAAAAGCAGAGGAAGACGGGTCAAGTGTTTGGACTCCATCCACCCACATGGGAGACCTGGATGAAACTCCTGGCTCCTGGGTTCTACCTGGCTCAGCCTTAGCTTTTATAGCCATTTGGGGATTGAGGCAGCGGTTGAAAGATCTCTCTCTCTCTCTCTCTCTCTCTCTTTACCCCCGTCTCATTATGATTTTCAAAATAAATAAATAAATAATTTTTAAAAGATTTATTTGAGGCAGAGTTATAGAGAAAGGGAGAGACAGAGGGAAGGTCTTCCATCTGCTGGTTCACTCTGCAAATGGTTGTAACAGCCAGAGCTGGGCTGATCTGAAGCCGGGAGCCTCCAGGTCTCCCATGCAGTTGCAGGAGCCCAAGCACTTGGGCTATCTTACACTACTTTCCCAGGCTGTAGCAGAGAGCTGGATCAGAAGAGGAGCTGCTGGGACATGAACTGGTGCCATATGGAATGCTGGTGCCGCCGGTGGAGGCTTAGCCTACTATGTCACAGCACTGCCCCCAATAAATCATTTTTAAAAATTCTATTAAAGCCTCTCCCAGGGGATGAGGTGAGGAAAAAGTCATGTCCACACATGACACACCAAAGACTTTCTGTGTCTTCTAAATTGTCATCTTTCTCTGACCTGGAAGTGGGTGGACAATTTTAGAGCTGCAAAAGCGACTCCCTTCCTCTTTTTTGGGAATTTTTACTTTTGTAGTTTTGCATTTTGCTGTACAATATGGGAATAGTCGGCATTTTACTTTCTTGGAATTTCAGCTAAAACTGAGAATCTTGTTTTAACAACCCAAGACATATACACACCACTTACTTGGTATTTATTTGTTTACATTGATTTTCCATATATTATATATATATATATATTTTTTTTTGACAGGCAGAGTGGACAGTGAGAGAGAGAGACAGAGAGAAAAGTCTTCCTTTGCCATTGGTTCACCCTCCAATGGCTGCCGTGGCCGGCGCGCTGCGGCCAGTGCACCGCGCTGATCCAATGGTAGGAGCCAGGTACTTCTCCTGGTCTCCCATGGGGTGCAGGGCCCAGGCACTTGGGCCATCCTCCACTGCATTCCCGGGCTACAGCAGAGAGCTGGCCTGGAAGAGGGGCAACTGGGACAGAATCCGGCGCCCCGACCGGGACTAGAACCCGGTGTGCTGGCGCCACAAGGCGGAGGATTAGCCTAGTGAGCCGCGGCGCCGGCCGTCCATATATTATAAACCCTTGGAAGACAGCAAGTATGTCATATTTTCCTTAGTGTATGCATCTAATGTGTCACATAGACTTGGTGCTCAATAAGTTTAGTTTAAAAAGGTAGTGAAGAATAAAAATACTTTAGTAATGGTAATAATAATTCCAGATACATTACATAGTACCAA